GGAGAGAATATCAGGTCCAGCATAAGGAGAATCATGTGCTAACAGCTGTCTAAATGACTCGGCTAAAGTTAGTAGCATGCTTGTTGTTTTTGTCTTTGCACTAGGATGATGTCGGCGTAAATGTGCAGTCATATTCGTTGTGTTCCCACTAGTGCTTTCAGGTTAATCTCGTTGAAATGACCTTATGACCGCGCTGGACGGACCAATCGGTGGCCGCGTTACAGGACGCACTCGATGACGCAGACTGGGGCATGTTCAGAAACAGCTCCGACGATGACGTCAACGTGTTTACGGAAGCGGTTGTGGGATTCATCGGGAAACTAGCGGATGATACCGTGGAGACAAAGACTATCACAACGTTTCCCAACCAGAAGCCGTGGGTGGATAAAACCATCCGCGACGCTCTGAGATCCCGCACCGCTGCCTACAACACGGGACTCATGACGGGGGACATGGACCCGTACAAAGCCGCGTCATATAACGTGCGGAGGGCGGTGAAAGAGGCGAAGCAGCGCTACGGGAGGAAACTAGAGTCACAACTCCAACAGAGTGACTCTAGGAGCCTGTGGCGGGGACTAAGGACAATAACGGACTATAAAGCACCAACAACCGGTATGACGAACGCGGCCGTGACTCTGGCAGACGAGCTGAACACTTTCTATGCTCGCTTCGAGGCTGCAGCTAAGGACTCCAACAATGCTAGTGCTAGCGGCGCTAACGGCTGCAGACAGGAAGATACTGCCAGCACCGGAAACGTGCTCGTCATCTCCGAGCATGAAGTAAGGAGAGCCTTCAAGAGAGTGAACACCAGGAAAGCAGCAGGACCAGACGGCATCCCAGGTCGTATCCTCAGAGACTGCGCATACCAGCTAGCTCCTGTGTTCACTGAGATATTCAACATCTCTTTATCTCAGTCGGTGATCCCCACATGCTTCAAAGAGTCCATCATTGTTCCTGTCCCGAAGAAACCCCACCCTGCTTCTCTCAATGACTATCGCCCTGTAGCCCTCACCTCAGTAGTGATGAAGTGCTTTGAACGCCTGGTCAGAGACTTCATCATTTCTTCACTACCAGACACACTGGACCCACTACAGTTCGCTTACCGTCCAAATCGTTCCACAGACGATGCCATCTCTCATCTCCTCCACACATCACTCACTCACTTGGACACTAGAAGGGGGAATTATGTTAAAATGCTCTTCATAGACTACAGCTCTGCATTTAATACCATAATTCCCTCCACACTCACCACCAAGCTGGAGCATCTGGGACTCAGCTCATCTATGTGTCAGTGGATCTCCAACTTCCTAACTGGCAGACCACAGGCAGTAAGGATGGGCGGACATGTCTCAGCCTCCACCACTCTCAGCACTGGAGCCCCCCAGGGGTGTGTTCTGAGCCCCCTGCTGTACTCTTTGTACACATATGACTGTGTGGCCACTACCAGCTCCACCACCATCATCAAGTTTGCTGACGACACCGTCGTGGTGGGCCTGATCTCTGATAACAACGAGACGGCCTACCTGAAGGAGATTAGGAATCGGAGAACATGGTGCCAGAGGAACAACCTCCCTTCTTAATACGTCAGTAAGACAAAGGAGCTGATAGTGGACTTCAGCACTAAGCAGGAGAGGAACTACCAGACCCCCGTCATCAACGAGTGCCCAGTGGAGAGAGTGGACAGCTTCAAATACCTCGGAGTTCACATCACGCAGGACCTGTCATGGTCCTGTCACATCAACACCGTGGTGAAAAAGGCCCGACAGCGTCTCTACCACCTCAGACGCTTGAGAGACTTCCAACTGCCCTCCAAGGTGCTCAGGAACTTTTACTCGTGCACCATAGAGAGCATCCTGGCGGGAAACATCTTAACCTGGTTCGGGAACAGCACCATGCAGGACAGACGAGCTCTACAGAGGGTTGTGCGGTCAGCTGAGCGCACCATCCGCTCCGAGCTCCCTGACCTGCACTCAATCTACAGCAGGCGGTGCTGGACCAAGGCCAGGAAGATGGTGAAGGACCTCAGCCATCCCAACAACAGACTGTTCTCTCTGCTGAGGTCAGGAAAGCGATTCCGCTCCCTGAAGACCAACACAGAGAGACTGAGGAGGAGCTTCTTCCCGCAGGCGATACGGTCTCTCAATCACACCACCACACAGTACTGACCCACACATATGGTTCTTACACACACACTGGACTTTCTGGACTTTGTTTTCATCCTATACTTAAGCATCAGCACAAGACTAAGTGGTTGCACAACTATATATTCTTCATTTCGGTTAATACTTGTACAGCTGCTGTTATTGTGTATATATTTATTTATATTTAGTTTCTTCATACATTCTTATATAGTTCTATATTGTGTATTTTGTTGTACAGTTATTTTATTTTCAACTTTAATTTATATATTTTATCTTATTCTTCCCAGTTAAATTTACCCTTCATTCTAATTTGTGTTGTACAGTTATTTCATTTTTAACCTTAATTTATATTTTATTCCTTCCTAGTTAAATTTACCCTTTTTAATTTTTCATATTTATTTCCTATCTTATTCATAGCCTTTCCTTTTTGTTTTCTTTAGGTCACGAGCAGTTGTCCAAGCATTTCACTGACATATCGTACTGTGTATGACTGTGTACGTGACAAATAAAATTTGAATTTGAATTTGAATTTGAAATGGACCAAGGCCATGTTGATCCACAAGTAAATCTGTTGGGCATCTTCCTTGGCCTTCAGACAGAAATTCTGATGGCTAAAGAACCAAACGGGATGGGCAAAAACAAAGAAGAATGTTTGCATTGCTCATTAGTGATCAGTGTAGTTTCTTCTACTGTATCATGCTGCTGAGCATATTGTCTTGGCCTGATGGTCTTTACAGCATTGCTTCACTTCATTGAGGTTTGTGGCTTTCAGCTACACATACCATCTCAGTTAAGTCAGGTTGAGGTCTAGAGCTTGGATGGGTCATAGCAACTTTTTGAATCTTTTCTTTTTCATACATTCTGTTGGATATTTGCTGCTTGCTTGGGATCATTGTTCTGCTACGTGCCCCACTACGGGCTAAGCTTCTGCAGGCAGACAGATGACTGCGTATTTTACATTTCCACTTTAGTATACTGAGAAACTTGTGGTTAACTCAATACCTGGAAGTTGCCAACTTCCTGTGGCTGCAAAACAAGAATCAAATCATCACCACTCCACCAAATGTGGCAGTATCCATTGCAGCTAAAAATCTACATTTTTTTGCCTCTCCACACCCAACATTTGCAGGGCCTAAAATTTAGACCAGCCACACTAATCTCATCAGATTTGTGGTTTTGTTTAAATCAACTGCAGAAAATCTATTTTCATGTCATTTTCAAATACTGCGCAAATATTTTTTGGACCATAGTTAACAACAATTGCATGTATGTGTCAGGATCTGGAGACTCGACTGGAAAATTCCATCAGGCACCTGAGTTCCTTGGTCTCCACCCCTGGGCGGAGCCATCATCCCTGCTGCAGTCCTGCACACCTCAGACTGATTCGGGGCAATCAGGTTGAGGGTTTAAGGCCCCCTCAGACTCTCCTTCACCTCCAGTTCATCAACGACCTCACGTTGGTATTGACTCTACGGCTTTTTACGCTCGTGCCACTTTTTCCTTGTTAACTTTGGTTTCATGCGCTTCAGATTCCCTGGACCTTCTTTGCTATCACCCTTAACCTCAGCTCTCCGTGGATCATCTTCATATTCAGGAAAAATACAAGGACCCTCACCTGCCTGCCCTCCAGCCTCACTCACCACCTTGGACACAGCGGAACTCAGGTCTGCCAGCCTCTCCACTACTCCCCTGGACTATCGCTGCCTCTCCCTCAAAGCGAGGTTCACGCCGCTCACCAACGCAACCGCTCCGTTCCCGTCGGAACCTGCTACTGTTCGGAACCCCCCACTGTCACACGGTTACATCATTAGCGACACCCTGCCACATATTCACTTGTTGACTAAATAATAAACACTGCAAAACGTTGAGCCGTCTCTGTTGTGGTTATCTGCAATCGAGTCCGATCTAGCTATCGGCCCGTGGCCACTGTGACATTATGTCAGCATGTCATTAGGAAAAGACCCGAAAGACTGTACTTTCGACTATCAGTTTTTATATCTGGTAAATATATACTTTTTAAATGTGTGTTTTTATTGAAAGCAGTTTGTCACTCTGTGTTTTGAAAATTGATATAGTGGTAAAACTATTATAGACATTATTACAAATCAAGAACAACCTGCCGTAATAGCAATCAGCAGCAAGTAACAGTAAAAGGTGCATAACAAAGAGACAACAGATTAATAATTCATTAATAATACAACAATACATCTCTCACATAAAACTGCTGTGTGGGAAATTTCAAACAACGGAGCTTCACCGTTTGCCCAGGTTATCTGCAAGTAGAAGACCCACCGAGAAATCTTTCTGGTATAACAAATAGACATCAACTTGAAAAAACAACAGGAGAGTGGAAAATGCCCCCAAACAAAAAGTTTTAATCATAACGATGACAATAAGCAGCCTGAATATTTTACATGTAATCATTAAGGTTGTATTTATGATGAGTATCTTAGTGAACCTCGTGTAAAATTGTCTCAAAACTGGCTCCCACAGTGGCATAAACAAATAGAATTTATACAAAATATTTGACTGGAGACAGGAAGTGGAGTACAAAAATATCAGCAGTCTGCAGAGGGTCACAGTGATGTGGAAGACATC